GGAAAAGTGGTTAGATGTGTAGAAATGCTAGATAAATGTTGTGGTTGAGCTATTTGTGTGTTGTTGATGATCTATGATTGATTTGTTGTGGTTTAGAAGTGTTGGATTGCACTGGTTTTGTGTTACTGGTGTTGAAGGAGGTGTCTGGTGCACACAGATGGTGCACCAGATCACCCAACGGACCTTGGCATGGTCCGTTGGCAAGCTCCGTTGAGGGGCGGACCATGGCCACGGTTCATATGAGGATAGGTCCTAGGATTGTAATGAAGATTGCTATTGTGATGATTGACTTGAATTGATTGTTATATTGTGATGATTGTTTGTTGTAGTTATGAATGTCTTGTTGTGGAGGATGATCTTTTGTAGCTTCCTTGGAGTGGGGCCCAACTCCTTGGATGATTTGGATTCCTAGGTTTAGGCAAGAGATTGCTAAGACTAGGTGAGCCCCTTGATCATTCTTCATTCCACGCCCTAGATCCGAGAGGAAAAAGGTCCGGGAAGGAATGTAGGCAAGGTGTTTGTTAAAATGCCCTGTAACACCCCCCCCCCCCAAAACAAGACTACTTAAAACGAGTCTTAACACCTGCAGATCAAGCACAAAACTAGCACAGCGGAAGATAAAAAGATAACTGGATAAAAGGAATCCAAAACGGGGTGTTATGCCACGTATACCACACTAGGTATACGCTACGGCGACAATCTGCAAGTGTAACACTATCCCAAAAACAACAAAACTAGAACAATCTAAAGACATTGGCACACAGGTCTCAACAACACTGTCTAAAGATACAGGTGCTAAGCTACCGGCTCTAGACATCGCGCTCGACTACGCATCACCTGAAAGATACAAAGATAAACATCGGGGCGACGCCCGGTCAGCGAAAGATGCTGGTAACCCACCAATACCGTTAAGTATCATAAATAGGTAGATATATAATATGAAAACCATTTTCGAAACGGAATACATATATATAAGTCAAAAGCCAAGATCAAAAGACAACACAAGACTCACCACTCACAAGGACACAACCGGGAACACACCCCAAACCACAAAGGTTAACCACACACAAGGATAAAGACTCACCCAACGTCAACACATGCCAAAACACACCACAAGCCTCCGTGACTACACACGTCACGAGAGAAGAGAACTCACCATAACAACGGCTTCACAAGCCCTCGTGACATCACCCATCACGAGTTGATATGCCTTCCTTATGCCCCGTTCCAACCTTATGGCTACCCCCAACCTTGTACCTTCGGTGCCAACCATTACCTCCAGAAAGCCCCTGTACAGCCAAGTCCAACCTTATTCCTCCGGGACCGTCGTCCCCCACCTATAACCACAAACGAAAACCCACCAATTCACGGCAACACATGCTCGGATAACACAATGTTATCCCCCAAACACGTGGACTCAGCCACATCTCCATGAAATCACATCACGGCCACCACGAGGACCGCTGCAATACCTTGGTGACTAGCGTCCCATACCACTAATCGTGCAATCCAGGTAAAGCCACACACGCACCACCACTCACACGAAACAAGCAACGGATTGCAACATAGGTACGAAACATACTCAATCAAGAGACAGGTCACCACCCATCGACACAACGACGCTAGCATTAGGATAATAACTAGCAAGCTCAACAACGAAGAAACTCAAGATAGTTCCGAGGAACACACAAGACACCACACGGTTCAATGAAACACAATGTTGAACACTTAGCACGATACACAACACCAAAGATCCTACATAGATACCTACCAAAAGCTCTAGACCTACGAAACATCAAGAAGACGCTCAAATAGTTCCACAAAAGAACAACGGGAGGCCAAAAGATCAAACACCGAGACAAACGAAACACGGGGAACAAATCCCACTCCAACATCACTGTGTTCCCCGCGGGTGGACCCACGGGTAGCGCCCCACCCGTGGTCCCGCCCGCGGGTACAACACCCACAAGGCATACGTTCCCGCGGGTAGGCCGGCGGGTGGTGCCCCGCCCGCCGTTCCGCCCGCGGGTACGTCCTTGTACCACAACAAATCCCTTCGGGGATTTTCTCCTCCAAACACAAATTCAAGTCCAAAACATGCCAAATCTCACCAAGCACAACAAAATGACTTGAACCAAGGAAAATGCCCAAGCAATGGCACAAAGGAAACCTAAACACAAGCTCTAGATATGCAATATCACAAGATAAATGCATAAACTCTCACATTTCATAGCAAAACACGAGTAGAAGCCAAGAAATCATATATAGGTAAGCAAAATAGGTTTTGTAGAGCATGGGTTACCTCTTGAAGACCAAAAGACTCTTCTTACACCACAACAAGCTCTCCACTAAGCTCACTAGCCAAACCCACTTCAAGATCAAACCAAAAGATCATAAAGATCCAACCTTTAAGAAAAACCAACTAAGATGGAACCAAAAAGACTAGACAAGCTTAGATCTTACCCTTCTAGATGCCAAAGTAGAGGAAAGATTGAATCTTGGAAGCAAAACTTGGAATCTTGACAAAGGCTTCTTTTGGCTTGAAGAACAAGCTACTCTTGTTTTCTAGAGAGAAGGTAGAGATATTTTCTAGGAAATGTAAGGGAATGAAATGAAGAAGTCTTCTAGGTTTAGGTTACAAAACAAGCTCTTGGTGAAAAGACAAGGATACCCTTACTAACTCTTAGAAAGTGTAAGGAACAAGGGAACTCCTCTCAAAGCACAAGGTACAACACCACTTAAGGATTGACTAGTCAAATACTAGTCCTTGAGTATCAAAAATCAGGATTTTAGGAATCAATTCCTCAAAAGAAATAGAATTAATTACTCAATTAATTCATGGTTTGGAGTGTGGATTTTTGGGGTGTCACATCCTCTCCCCCTTCAAAGAAGTTTCGTCCCCGAAACTTGGGTACAACGGATTAAGAACGAAAGGTAACAAGGAAACAAAATTGTGACAAGAAGTCCAAGAATATCCCTTTTGGTCAAAAACTCCAAAAGTTCTCACAAGGTTCCAAGGCAAAGAGAAAGACATTACGAATTCAAGGATAGGCAAGAGGTCAACAAATGGATAGATTGGCATCAAGAACTCTAACCTCAACACAACAACCAACTTCTAGACAACAACCAAGAACTAAACTACTAACCCAAACACCAACTAACACACTAGCTAAACAACAAGGCAACAAACAAAGCAAGCAATCACACAAAGCACACAACAACCAAACACCAAGCTACAAAGGCTAAGAAGCAACAGAGAAAGAAACGAACGGGGTTACCACAACACAACTAGAACTCTTCACTCTCTGACTCTTCGGCCTCTTCAGACTCTTCCTCTTCGGCTTCAACTCTGTGGCTAGAACTAGCTTCAAACCGATCAAGCCTCTGATGCACTGCGGCAAACTGTGACCTCACAAATGCAAAACCCTCGGCGATCAAACTGTTCTGCTGACGAAGCAAAGAGGCGACATCCTGCCCTCTCTTGGTGCGAACTTCTTCCCTTCTACGGCGTTCCTCACCGTCTAATTCACTTACTTCAGCGGTCTCCGGTGCCCCTTCTTCTTCTTCCTGATCCGCTTCTTCCTCAACTTCTTCGTCACCACCCAAACTCTGGACTGCAAGGCTCAACTTCCCGGCATGAATCTCAAGCTCAGCAGCTAACTCTGCTCTCTCAATAGGTGCTTTCCTAGCAACCTCTTCAAGCGTGATGTACTCACCACTATCCAACAGAAAAAGATTACAACTTCGGAGATTGGCGGTATCCAACACCATATTTCCCAAAGCCTTCGAGGGACAACCATCCACAGTAACACCTTTCTTAACCAAAATCCAACTTAACACCATGCCATACGGCAAACTCTTCCGGTTGTGATCCCGGCAAAACACCATGTGTTGCATCATCAAAGCAGGCAGATTGAACTTAACCATATTCTTCAAATAGAAAGCAAAGGTACACTCCAACTTACCCAACAAACTGCTCTTGTTGTTGTTAGGCAACAAACAATCTGACACCAACATAACCAAGATCCTTTGTTCCGCAAACAACCACTTCTTTTCCGGCCTCGAAGCTTGAGTGAAACCACTCGTACGGCCAAACAGATAGCTCAAATAGTCACGGTACCCCATGGTATCCGTACTAATCCAAGAATGACCACTGTACTGAGCCACTTCGGTAGCAGAAAAACTCAACAACTGAGCTAACCTCTTCTTAGACAACACAACCTTCACACCTCTCACCTTAGAGGTGATCTCAAGCCTTTCACCTTCCTTCGTCACCACCATGTGACGGTAAAACTCTTTCACCAAACTCGGGTAAGTCTCGGCCCTTATGGCAAGAAAACCATCCAACAAACCTTGAAACTTAAGCAAATCCAACAAGGAACTTGGAAAAGATTCCGGATCAAAAGCTTTACCTTCAAGCACAAGGTAGTGGGCATCCACCCATTCCCCTTTTCTAGCCAAACTTGACCTTCTAGGCATGGTGAAAGATGATCCAAAGCTCAACAAACAAAGCCCACAACTTCTTCTTCTTCTACCACACTCTCGCGGCTCTCTCTCCCTCTTAGAAAAGAGAAAGAAGAGGAAATAGGAAAGTTTATTCAAACTATTTTAAAATCATATATATATATATATATATATATATATATATATATATATATATATATATATATATATATATATATATATATGCTTTCTATTCAGATTTTTTATACAAATTATTTTTAAATCATATGCTTTGTATTCAAATTTTTAGCTTCGCATCTGTTTGTAAGTGTTGTTTTTTAAACATTTATTAATAATTAATTTATTGTGATAACAATGTTATTATTATTTATAATTTAGTTTTTATAATAGTTAAGTTAGTGAACATAATGTGATGTTTTCCTCTCGCCACTTTCGCGAGCCTAGTTTTTGATAAGTTTGTTTGCCGCTGCCATTCTTTACGCCAAAAACCCTAGTTTGACACCGGAGATCATCGTCACGACTAATCACCCTGCAGCATGGCCGACTCTGATGTCGCATCTATGTGTGCCAACTTAACCCTAGTCGACGTTGATGATGATGACGTAGCGGTACAGTTGCCGATCGCCCCAGAGGACCAAGCGGAGGTGGAGGGCGCATATTATGCCGTGGGACGGTTGGTTACAAACAAAACAATCCGGCTTCCGCTCTTCCATGATACAATGGCTGCCGTGTGGAGGCCGGTAATGGGAGTGAACATGAGGGAGCTAGAGCCTCGCAAGTATCTGTTTAGGTTTTACCATGAGAAGGACGTTACACGGATAATTGAACAAGGCCCCTGGACTTTTGAGCGATCCCTACTCATCATGAAGATGGTACCCCCAGGGCAGGACCCGGCATCGGTCCCGCTTACTCATGTTGAGTTTTGGGTGCAAATACACGCGTTGACGTCAGGGTTTCGATCGGAGACTGTCGTGACAACAATAGGATCTTTTCTGGGTGCCTGTATAAAGACTGATGAGAGGAATTTTGACGGCACCATAAGGAAATTCTATCGAGTGCAGGTGCCGATTGATGTAGCAAAGCCGATCAGGAAACAGATGAATTTGAAGAGGGATAATAGTGGGTGGGTGTTAATTGATTTCAAGTATGAGCGTCTGCCGACATTCTGCTTCTTGTGCGGGATAATAGGTCACGGTGATAAATTTTGCCATAAGTACTTAACGACCGATGATGGGGCGGAGAAGCCATATAGGGCCTGGCTAAGGGCGGGCAACAGAAGAGGAGTGACGGGCAATGGCAAGCCTTGGATACTGCTGGAATCGACATCTGAGCGGTTGAAGTGGAATGCGGCTACCTTTGACTCTTTATCCTCCGCCAGACCCACGGGAGGGGGGGGGGGGAGAGGGTGATGGTGCACTGCCTGAGGTTACAGTTGGGGAGCAGAGGAGGAGACGAGTGGAGGATGGGGATACTGTGGTCATGGACTGCGAGGTAACAATTTCAAAAAACGGGAGGGAGGCGGGCTTGCTCCGCCATGAGTATCCTGTCATGGAATTGTCGTGGGCTCGGCAATCCAACGGCAGTTCGCGTTCTGGCGGACCTTGTCCGTGATAAGAGGCCGAAGATCTTGTTTTGATGAAGACATTTCTAATAAACAATAAGATGGAACCAATAAGAATAAAGTTGGGGTTTGCAAATTTACTCACTATCGACGCAGTAGGGAATAGTGGTGGCCTAACGCTACTATGGGACGAACCAGTTGATGTGGTAGTAACCGGTTACTCAAATCATCATATCGACGTAACTGTGGTCCTGGACATGGGTGCTTCTGAGTTTAGACTCACTGGGTTTTATGGCACACCGGAGAGCCATAGACGTCGAGAGTCTTGGAATTTGCTCCGGACATTAGCGAGCTTAAGTAACTTGCCATGGGTGGTGGGGGGGACTTCAACGACCTGTTCTGCCAGTCAGAGAAGCGGGGGCGTGTGCCACACCCGGAGTGGCTATTGTTGGGGTTTCAGGAAGCGGTAGCAGACTGTGGCTTAACGGATTTTAATTTCTCAGGGTACTAGTTCACTTGGCATAGAGGCCGGGAAACACCAAATATGGTCGAGGAGAAGCTAGATAGGGTTCTTGTTTCGGATTCATGGCTGGAACTTTTTGAGAGAGCAACGGCTACATCATTGTCTTGCCCCTATAGCGATCATTTACCCATCCTATTGGTACCAGTCCTCCGAACATATATGCCACGGTGAAGGAGGTTCTGCTTTGACAATATGTGGTTGCGGGAGGAGGTGTTTAGGGAGGTGGTGGAGCAGAGTTGGAGTCGATCATATGGTTTGGATATTTTCCAGAGGATTGAGAAATGCCGTCAGGATATATGGCGTTGGGGTCGGTCTTATAACAAAGACTTCCAGTTACAAATTGACCAGTGCAAGAAGATGTTAGAGGTGCTTCGCCCGAGGAGTGATCCTCAATCAAGTGTTGAGTATGATAGGGTCGAGAGGGAGCTGTTAACGCTCCTAGAACAACAACATATTTATTGGCGCCAGCGTGCTAAGGAGCACTGGTGGAAAGATGGGAACTTGAATACAATGTTCTTTCATAATTCAGTGAAGGCGAGGCAGGGTCGGAATCAGGTAACAAAGCTGAGAAATGAGGATGGTACTTAGACAGAAGGGGATGATGAGGTTGGTGCTGTGATGGTCAAGTATTATAGGGAGCTTTTCTCGTCTCATAAGGGTAATGACAGGGAGGTCATTGCATGTGTAGGCTCACATGTCACACCGGCGGACAACGCAAATTTGGAGCGACCGGTGGCAATGGAAGAGGTTAGAAAAGCAATGTTTACCATGCATCCCGACAAGTCGCGGGGCCGGATGGCTTTAGACCCGGTTTCTTTCAACATTTTTGGCCTACTATTTGGGGTGAGGTCACACTCTTCTATAGACAGTTCATAGAAACTGCAAAGCTCCCTACTAGGGCTAATGATACCCTCATTGTTTTAATACCGAAGAAGCCTGTTCCCGAAACTATGAAGGATCTGCGGCCTATTGCGTTGTGCAACGTGCTATATAAGATAGCTGCGAAGGTGTGTGCGAATAGACTCAAAGGCCTTCTTGACAAAATTATCTCCCAGTCTCAGAGTGCATTTGTGCCGGGAAGGTTAATCACCGATAACATAATGCTGGATTTTGAGGCACATCACTATTTAAAACGAAAGACCCAGAGTAGGACGGGGGTGGGAGCCCTAAAGATTGACATGAGCAAGGCCTATGACAGGGTAGAGTGGCGGTTCTTGAGGGCCGTTATGATGAAAATGGGTTTTAGCTTGAAGTGGGTGAATATCCTTCTCGAGACAGTTAGTTGTGTTAAGTATCATATTTTGTATGAGCAGAAACACCTGGGGCCGATCATCCTGGAGCGAGGGCTAAGGCAAGGCGACCCTTTGTCGCCATATTTATTCCTAATGGTGGTGAAGGGTCTCAGTGCGTTGATTGATAACCGAATGCGTAGGGGTTTGTTACAGGGGATACACATAGCGAGAGAGGCCCCGCCGAGTTCACATCTTTTATTCGCGGACGACTGTTTCCTCTTTCTGTGTGCAAATATGGAAGAAAGTCTTGAGATGAAACGGGTGTTGGATATGTATGCTGAGGCCAGCGGACTGTTAGTAAATTATGATAAGTCAGTGGTGTGTTTTAGCGCGAATGTGGATGTGCACAGCCGAACTCAGGTTTCGAATATACTAGGGGTTGAGCAGGGAGACACGGCGGGGAGGTATCTGGGATTACCCTCTTTGGTAGGCCGGAACAAGAAGGAGATCCTCGGGTTTTTGAAGGAAAAAATACTAAACAGGGTAAGAAGTTGGAACACAAGGTTCTTGTCACGCGCCGGTCGAGAGTTTTTGCTAAAAAATGTCTTGCAAGCATTACCATGTTATGCTATGATGGTGTTTATGTTACCAGCGAGCCTTTGCAGAGAGATAGAGGTTATTCTAAATCGCTATTGGTGGACTAGGTCTGTTAAGAATGTGGCCGGTTTGAGATGGAAATCATGGGGTGCTCTTAGTGTTCCGAAAGCAAAAGGTGGGCTGGGGTTTAAAGATTTGAGGAATATGAACCTGGCACTGTTGGGTAAGCAAGCTTGGAGGCTTCTGACCCGCCCGACTCGTTTGTTGCACGGGTCTACAAGAGCAGATATTATCCTAACACATCATTTTTTGATGCAGAACTAGGAACGAATCCCTCGTTTGTATGGTGCGGCATTATGGGATCACAACATGTGGTTCCCCAATGGGAAAGGCGCAGCATAGGCGATGGCAGAACCACAACTATTGGTTCGGATCCATGGCTTGTGATGGAGGCTGATCCATATGTTAGAACTAATTTAAATCACTCCATTATGGTTACCCTTGTAAGTTCGCTGCTGAGGGGGGATGGGGCCGGCTGGGATGTGGCATGCGTAAGTGACGTGTTTGATGAACGAGATGCACGGTGTATTCTGAATATTCCAGTGAGTATTAGAAACCTGCTGACGCCTGGGTATGGAGTGGGGATTCTAAAGGGAGATATACTGTAAAGTCTTGCTACCGACTGATTACAGGGGAGGTGCACGATTACCGGCCATGGAATCTAATTTGGAGTTTACAGGTTCCCCCCAAGGTGCGGCTCTTCTGCTGGCAGTTTGGGCACGCTATTCTGCCAACTAGGGATTCCCTTGCAGCAAAACGTGTGGCTTGTCATCTATCTTGTCATATGTGTGGGGCGGTAGACGAAACCACACAACATCTCTTTCGGGGTTGCATGCATGCGGCTAGTTTGTGGGCTTCAATTCGGTTGTCGCCAATAGCTCAACAACAAGGTAATGTGGTTGACTGGTTATTTGAGCATTTGAAGAACTTGAGTGGCGACTTACAATGTTTGTTTGTGATGTTGTGCTGGGGATTGTGGGGGAGCAGAAATGATAGAGTCTGGAGAAGGATTCAATTTGACAGGGAATCAGTGTTGCGCTCCGCGATAACGTTTTGGCATAACTGGAGAACGGTTAACGTGGGCTCACATAATGAAGCTGTTGTTCATAGCAATGCGGAGACTTGGAGGCCATCGGCTGCCGATAGGCTCAAAATAAACACGGGCGCAGCTTTTTGTGTTGAGGAAAATGTTATGGGCCTAGGATGGGTTCTCCGGGATGAGGATGGTCGTTTCTTGGCTGCACGTAGCACTTGTGTTGCCGGAATGCATACAGTAGTGGAGGCAGAGGTTCTATGCTTACGTGAAGCACTGATTTGGTTGCGTGGAACAGGGATGGGAAATGTAGACTGTGAGACTGATTCAAAACTTTGTTTTCATGCTTTAAATTCTGTTTCTTTTTGTTCAGCTTTTGGTTTTTTAGTAGATGATGTAAAGCATGTAGCCTCTATGATAGATGGGGTTAGCTTCCAGTATGTTAAACGATCTGCGAATCGTGCAGCCCTTGCTGTAGCTCGGGAAGCCGTTTCTGTGTCAGGTCCTGGGGAATGATTTGATACACCACCTCCTTACCTTATGCCGATTATTACCAGTGCTTTAATGAATTAAGAAGCTGTTTTCAAAAAAAATGATAACAATGTTATTGTTTATAAGCTTGTTTAATTTTAAATTGTTTATTCATTTTTATAAACTGTAATTATTTCTTTATGAAATACACCAATTCAATTATTTATTATTTTACATTTTGAAAAGCATCTACAACTTTTTCCAAGATTATTATTATGTATGTAATTACAATTGTTGAAAACTTGTAATCTTATTTCAAGTTATTGGATATTAATATTTTTTACTTATTTACTATTAAATTTTAGGTATGAAATATATGTTCACTTCAGAAGAACCTATTTTTTTTACCATGCCCCGAGTAAGACCGGGCATGAATATATATATATATATATATATATATATATATATATATATATATATATATATATATATATATATATGTATATATATATATATATATTTGTATACATATATATATATATATATGTATACATATATATATGTATACATATATATGTATACATATATATATACATATATATGTATGTATGTATGTATGTATGTACATATGTATGTATATATGTATGTATGTATTATATATATATATATATATATATATATAACATACATACATACATATATATATATATATATATATACATATATATATATATATATATATGTATGTATGTATTATATATATATATATATATATATATAATACATACATACATATATATATATATATATGTATGTATGTATTATATATATATATGTGTATTATATATACATATATACATACAGAGGCGGGTTCAGGTGCGGCAGTGTCTTATGGTGCGGTTATTTCTTACGGTGCGACAACACCAATAGTTCACCAAATATGCACCATCAACGTTAGAAAATACACCACACAAAACAGAGTAAACAGAGCCCTGCATCACCAAACACACACCATTAGGTGTGAGTAAAAACACCATACACTGTTCGGAAATACACCATTGGGGGTGGTGAGTTATATGGTGTGTTTTTTTGAGTCTGTGGTGTATTTTGTGATGTTTTATTACATTTCATTGGGGTGTGTTTTTATTACACTGTTGGTGCATATTGTTAACACTGTTGGTGTATTCTGGAATTTGACCGCACCGCCGCACCGTAAGACCCCGCCGCATATGAGCGCTTTTCTATACATATATATATATATATATATATATATATATATATATATATATATATATATATATATATATATATATATATATATATATATATATATATATATATGATCATAGTATAATGTAATGTAAGAGTTAATTCCACCAGAGCTCTCTTGTCTTGGTGGCAATTTTAAATTTAGTCTGATGGCTGACTATTATTTTTTAGACACTTTTAGTGTTTCTCATGATTTTTCTTATTTTTAGTAAGTGCATTTTTGTCTCTTCATATTTTTTTTGTTATTTTTTCGGTTTAAACTGGTTTAATTAGTTTAGGATTTTACTAAAAACTGGTTGAAAAATATGGTTACTAAAAATCAGAGGTTACCTAATGTTCTAAACCAATTAAACAGGTTGAAACCGAAAAAATAACAAAAAAAAACATGAAAAGACAAAAATTCCCTTACTAAAAGTAGAAAAAGTAATGAGAAAGATTAACGGTGTCCAAAAAATAATAGTCCAAGATGTTAAATGACAAAACTGATAGTCTGAGACTAAATTTAGAATTGCCACAAAAAACAAAGTATCTATGGTGAAATTATAATGGAATTATATATAATTTCCTGTCACATTTATCCCTTTTATTTTATTCGATCTATATTTTGTCTCCTATCTTCTTTCTCTCCTTAATTAATTTTTTTTTTCTTTCCCTCTTCATTCTTGATTTCCTCTTCCTATTGTAGACATGTCCCACAACGACTTACCCGTTTGGTTAGATGTAATTTCGTTGTAGTTGCATTGCAATTCGTTTCTTTCCTCAATTACGTTGTTTTTGTTGTATTGCAAGTTTGTTATTAACCTTTGCAGACCTTAGCTCGCAGGAACAGTGAAACAAAGAGCAGTATGAAGAAGATAAAGAAAAGTGAGAAGAACAATTTTATTGCCTTGCTATCTCTAACTTCTGTACATGAATACAATAATATATAGAGTACAAATGTAACCTTCTCATTAAGTACAAAAACTGTTTCAGCTGTTACAAATTATCATAATAATGTCCATTAAGATTTTGATTTATAACACTCCCCCTTGGACATTATTTTGCCATAATCATGCCTCGTTAAAAACTCGCTAGAAAAACCCTGTGGGAAAAACCTAGTCGAGAAAAGAGTACACGATTTATGGATAATGCATGTGTTGCTTCGGTTGCCTCATTAAAAACCTTACACTGAAAAAACCCTGTGGGGAAAAAACTCAGTTAAGGGAAAAAGAGTACAACCGTAAACCTTCTAGGTTTAGGTATAAATCATAAGAGTATGTCTTTGATCTTCTGGATCGAAGTGAATGAGTTAATCTTCTGGACTAACAATTTCATTACTTTGAAGATGTTGCTCCCCCTGAAGACAACAACCTTCCTAATCTACTCATACCAATTTTATATACATACTTTTCAAAAGTAGATGTGGGTAAGGACTTAGTGAATAAATCTGCTAGATTTTCACTTGATTGGATCTTTTAGACTCGTATTTCACCACTCTTCTGGAGTTCATGTGGATAAAAGAATTTTGGTGTAATATGTTTGGTGAGATTACCTTTAACATATCCATTACTCATTTGTGCAACACATGCTGCATTGTCCTCGTACAGGACAGTGGGGATCTTTCCATTATTCATTATTCCACACGAGTCTTGAATATTGTGTATTAATGACCTCAACCATACACATTCTTTGGAGGTCTCGTATAAGGCAATAATCTCAGAATGGTTTGAGGAGGTAGCTACTAATGTTTGTTTAACTGATTTCCATGAAATAGCAGTACCTCCAGAAAGAAACACATATCCAGTCTGAGATCTAGCATTATGCGGATCAGACATAAAGCCAGCATCCGCGTATCCCACTAATGTGGTGTCTTGGTTTCTTTTAAATAGAAGGCCAAGATCCTTTGTACCTTGCAAATATCTGAGGATATGTTTTATGCCATTCCAATGCCTTCTAGTTGGAGCAGCACTAAAACGAGCTAGCATGTTTACTGAAAATGCAATATCAGGTCTAGTGCAGTTGGCAAGATATAGAAGTGCTCCAATGGCACTTAAGTAAGGAACTTCTGGTCCCAGAATATCCTCATTATCTTCTTTAGGTCTGTACGGGTCCTTATCAACTTCAAGTGATCGGATTACCATTGGAGTACTAAGTGGATGGGACTTATCCATGTAGAATTTCTCCAATAACTTGTCTGTGTATTTGGATTGGTGTATGAATATCCCTTTAGGGAGGTTCTCGATCTGCAGGCCGAGACAGAACTTGGTTTTTCCCAATTCTTTCATTTCGAATTCCTCCTTTAGGCACAAGCATGCCCTCTTGACGTCCTTGCTCGTCCCTATGATGTTTATATCATCTACATAGATTGATATAATACAGAAACCATCAGTTGATTTCTTTGTAAAGATGCAAGGACTAATATCTTTATTTTCATATCCTTGTTTTGAGAGGAATTCACTCAATCGACAATACCACATTCTTCCTGATTGTTTTAAGCCATATAATGACTTTTGTAGCTTTACGCTGAACATATTTTTATTTGTATTTCCTTTACATAAAGGATTTTGGATGCCCTCAGGTACTTTCATATATATGTCAGCGTCTAGTGACCCATATAAATATGTGGTCACAACATCCATTAACTGCATTTCTAAATTCATTTTTACTGCCAGCGATATTAGATAACGGAACGATGTGCCATCTAAGACAGGAGAGTAAGTTTGTTCAAAATCTATTCCAGGTCTCTGTGAGAACCCTTGAGCTACCAGTCTCGCTTTGTATCTGACCACCTCATTTTGTTCATTCCTCTTTCGTGCAAATACCCATTTGGATCCTACTGGGATCACGCCTTTAGGGGTAAGTACAGGAGGACTAAATACTTTTCTTTTATTTAGCGAGTTGAGCTCAGGCTCAATTGCTTCTTTCCATTTCAACCAATCGGAGCGCTTCCGGCACTCCACTATAGTTTTTGGTTATGGATCCAGATTATTGAAAGAAATGTGAAGAGCAATTGTAGAGGCGAATTGGTCGTCGACAACTGTTATATTTCTATTAAGATTTTCTCCTGTTTCGAAAAAGTTTATGGCAGATTCTACATTTACTTCAACCAAATCTTTCTCATTTGCTATCATATCTTGGTGAAGGTGTTCCGTATTCCCAGTGTTAGATTTATTTGTAGCACGTGCATTTACACTGGGTATTTCGTCTTCAGGACGATTTTGGAGTAACTGTGATTGTTTTTTGTTTTTAATTTTCCGCGGATTTACATCTTTTGCACCAACTGGTCGTCCACGCTTCTGGCGTCGGATAGTGTTGGTGTTAGTATTTGGTCCTTTGGGGACAATTATCCTTGATGGAGCATTTTCTGCAGGAATATAGGACCTAGTTACTCTTTTATAATCAGTAAACGCATCTGGTAGATTATTTGCTAGTTTTTGCAAATTTATTATTTTCTGAACTTCAAGTTCAGTTTGACTAGTACGTGGGTCAAGATATTGAAGATCTTTTTCATCCCATGAAATTTCGTGGCATTTTTTCAAAGCTGGGCTTTTCCCACCCCTAATGCCGGGAAATGATCTTCATCAAAAATGCAGTCAGCAAACCATGCAGTAAACTGATCTGCTGTCATAGGCTCGAGGTATTTAATGATAGAAGGGGATTCATACCTAACATAAATACCTAATCGACGGTGCGAGCCCATTGAAGAACGATGCGAAGGTGGTATAGGTACGTAAACCGCACAGCCAAAGACACGCAAATGAGAAATGTCTGGCTCATTACCACGTACAAGTTGTAGAGGGGAATAATCGTGATATGCAGTTGGCCGGAGTTGAATTAGGTTTGCAGCATGCAACACTGCGTGTCCCCAACAATTTACTGGTAGATTGGACCGTTGCAGTAATGGTCTAGCTATTAGTTTAATTCTTTTGATAAGAGATTCAGCTAAACCATTCTGGGTGTGGACGTATGGTACAGGATGTTCCACCTTAATTCCCATGGCCATACAATAATCGTCAAAAGCTGACGAAGTGAATTCACCAGCATTATCCATTCTTATGTTCTTAATAGGATAATCGGGAAATTGGGCATTCAACCTAATGATTTGGCTCATGAATTTTGCGAATGCCATATTTCGAGTGGACAACAAACACACATGTGTCCATCGGGTGGAAGCATCAATAAGGACCATAAAATATCGAAATGGTCCGGATGAAGGATTAATTGGTCCACAAATATCACCCTGTAGCCTCTGCAGGAAGACAGGTGACTCAAAATCAATCTTAGGACGCGAGGGACGAACAATAAGTTTTCCCTGTGCACATGGAACACATGTGTAATCTTTTGTAGAAAGAATGTTTGTCCTAAGAAGGTTATGTCCAGTTGAATTTGAAAGAATCCGGCCTATCATTGTTTGCCCAGGGTGACCTAAGCGGTCATGCCATAGACTGAAACAATGTGTATCTTTAAACTTCACTGCGAGTGCAACGCAGGAGTGCTGGGGCCTGATATATGAATAATACAGGCCTGAAGAAAAGGAAGGAAGTTCTTCAATTTCCTTTTTCTGGTTATTGACCGTTTTGGTCAAAACAAGGAATTCGGTATTGTTTTTAGTTTTAGTTTCTATGTGGAAACCGTTGGACCCAATATCCCTGAAACTGAGCAAAGTTCTTTTTGATTGAGGATATAGGAGGGCTGAATCAATGATCAACTTTGTTCCGTTAGGAAGAATAAGTGAAGCTCTGCCGGAGCCTACAATAGGAATGTCATCATTCGCTGGTTGAAAGGTTGCCTTTGTGTTCCTTGAACGTTTGAAAAAATCTCCGGTCTGTCAGAATAGTGTGCGTAGTCGCACAATCAACCAAGCATAGGGTTGATTCGTCTCACATCTCTCTAAAGAAAAAGAATGGGTATCAAGATAATGTCTAAGAAGGATCCATTGTATTTATTCAAATAGAACAAAAGTGTTCAAAGATAAAGGATCCGTTATTCATATAGGACAAAAGAGTTCAAATATAAACATGCACGCAGGCATGAAGTAAAATGGATGTCCATAAGGGAAAGAGAGAGAGAGAAAAAAATAGGAGTATCACTCCTGATCTCCATAATCAGCTAGTTCATCGCCTAGCAGGTCATCATTCCCTAAGATGAGGGCATTTGCTTCAGGCAAAGATGATTGCCCAGAATCTTTCTTCTTTTGTCATCCTTCCTGCTGGAGCATCTTTTGGTAAGCCTCGACCAGATGCTTAGGAGTCATGCATGTCCTAGACCAATGTCCTTTGCAACCACATTTATAACATGGCTGCGACTAACCGGAGTTCTGTTGTTACTTGTTTGGTCTATTTCTTTGAGTTTGCTTGTTCTGAGGACGGGAGTCACTACCGTTAGCTCCCCCTCTACCACCTCGCTTTGGGCCCCTGCCACGACCTCTCCCCCTACCCCGGCCTCGACCCCGCCGATTGTTGCTCTACTGGGCAACAATGTGTGCTTCAGGCACAGGTGCAGTGCCAGTTGGACGCGCATTGTGATTTTGCATCAATAACTGGCTATGCTTTTCAGCCACCAGTAAATCCGTAATGAGCTCTGGATGCGTATCATATTTTGTATTCCTGTACTGCTTCTGGAGCACAAGGTCATTTGGATGGAACGTGGATAGAGTTTTTTCAATCAGATCCTCGTCCGTAATTGTTTGCTTACAGAGCTTCAATTGTGACACAATTTTGTGTAGGGCGGAGTTGTATTCAGTCACAGACTTAAAGTCTTGAAATCGGAGGTTAAGCCAATCATGTTGGGCCTGGGGGTGGACCAATGACGTCTGTTGGTCAAATCGTGCCTTAAGAGATTTCCAGAGGACATAGGGGTCTTTTTCTGTTAAGTATTTATTCTTGAGGTCGTGGTTAAGATGGTGGCGGAGGAAAATGAGCGCATTCGCCTTCTAGGCTGCAGTGCTTGTAGATGTCTCTTCAATGGTGTCCAGCAGTTCTGTAGATTGGAGATATATCTCAACATCAAGCGGCCAAGTGAGGAAATTGCTTCCATCAAGGGCGAGTTCAGCGAATTCTCTTTTTGCGAGAGCAGCTATTTCTACAGAAAATATTTAAATGAGGACCAAAGAAATATAAGGTGTGGCCTAGTTTATTTCAATAATCAAAAAGGCCCAAGGAACATATAATATAGCATACCCAAAAAAAACGGTCCAAACAAATGAGGGCTTGAAAGATAAAAAAAGCCCATGAAAGATGGTCCATGATGGTGGTCCAAAACAAATGGGACTGGGTGGGTATGTAAAGAAAATGGTCATTGAAATAAAGGTGGTCCATTTAAAAAAAAATGGTCCAATTATATAATCTAGATATTCAGATTGTTAAAAGGCCAAACCCTAAAACAGACTTAAGAAAGATATAAGGAATAAGGCTGCGTTTTAGGATTAAATAATTGGACGAACAGTTAAGGAGAAAACGAAGCGGCAAAGAAGAAGATCGAATCTGCTTCACCATCGCCGCAGACCACACCACCGCTGATCTCCATCACCGCGGCTACCATCTTCGCGAACCACCACGTGAGGAAGCCAGCTGTCTCCGCCTCCTCCTCCTCTAGCTGCCGGTTGCTATCGCCTAGCAGCGTCGCCGCCGCTATCTCCGATCGGCGTCGGGCGTCGACCAGCGTTGCCGCCATCTCCGATCGTACAGGGTCGGAGACAGAACGCAGATCAAAAGCAAATCACGCTGATCCAAGTATGAAGTTCAAAGAAAAAACTATATTTTTCCGATTTTGGCATATAAAAAGGGGGGTTTACATATACAGAGCATATAATCTGAAAGATACATAAGCATACATGCATGTACAAATTTCTGGAAAAACATATATACACCCTTTTTTTTTTAAGCTTTGGTTTTCAAAATTTTTCAAAAAAAACTGGTGTCGAAAAATTGTTGTTTTTGGAATCCGGAAATTTAAAGATTTTTTTTTTAAAATAATTCTATTTTTGGTGTTGGAATTGTAAACAAAGGAGTATGATTAATATATAAAAAATCTCCTTTTTGTTTTGTGATAGGAATTCTAAATTTTTAGCCTTTATGTTTTCATTTGAAAAAAAAGGGATGACATGCGAAAAGGATTGTACAGATATGTTGGAGAAAAAAAAAACATACAGGTAAGGGAAACAAGCTCGGGATAGAAAGCTTAAAGGCACAGACAAGGCATATAACATGCATTAACAGAATATTAATCTGTATATCTAGGCTAGCAGAAATATGCATATAATCATACTGAAACAATCATATGTAAAAAAAATGTAAGTTACCGTTCACCGGAGCGTGCTGATAATGTGTTGTATTGCAAGTTTGTTATTAACCTTTGTAGACCTTAGCTCGCAGGAATAGTGAAACAAAGAGCAGTATGAAGAAGATAAAGAAAAGTGAGAAGAACAATTTTATTGCCTTGCTATCTCTAACTTCTGTACATGAATACAATAATATATAAAGTACAAATGTAACCTTCTCATTAAGTACAAAAACTGTTTCAGCTGTTACAAATTATCATAATAATGTCCATTAAGATTTTGATTTATACCAGTTTTGTTGGATGGAATTACAATTCCTTCCATTCACTTAATTGCAATTCATGGCACCCCCCATGAATTCTAATTCAGTGGTGGAATGGGAGAATATATTGTTGTTAAGATTATTTTACCCCTTCATTATTCTCATCCACTACCTCATTTATTATTACATAAAGACATTTCAGTCATTGTATCACTTATTCCCTTTCAATTCCTTGTAATCCTATTCATGCATACCAAAAACTACTGTAATTTAAACTCTTACTTTATTCACACTTTATTCTTTTCTCACTGAATTACAAATCCTTTCCCGCTTAATTTCTTCCTTCCAACCAAACGCCCTGTAGCGTTTGTGTTGTGGCATGGCCAGTGGGCAACGTAAACACCTCGTCTGGAATGACTCCATGCATGTGGAGATAGACGATCTAACATTCGGCGTTAACAAAAGTTACAGGCTCGATCTCAAATTGATTTGGGCGTAGTGTACTGTGGGTTCATGTTCTCCGTCTTTTATTTCTGGCTCTCCCTAACTCCTTGAGTGGATTGAGAATTGTATGTTAATATTATGTTCAATCAAAGTATGAATTCCCTCTAACCAGGGATGGAGCCAGGATTTGTTGGCGCGAGGCGCCAATTACAATTAAACTAACTAAAAAGAAAAATAATTATAATTACACCGAGATTAAAGTAGTAAAATTTGGAAGATTGGTAGCAAAATAATATTTTATTATTATTATAATAAGTATCATTGCAATATATTTCATTTATACAAATTAAAAAGTTAACTAGTAGTTGCACCCGTGCGATGCACGGCCATGTTATTATGGTGAAATATATTAAAAAGTGTTTTATTCATGATATATGTTTAATAAGGTTATAGACGTCACAAATACACAAAATATAATATTTTATTGATAAATAAATAAAACAATTACAAATTATTAAAGATTTCTTTATAAACTACATTTTGGGTCTTGTTTATAAGATCTCTAGATTCCCCACAAATTAAGACCTTAAGACCATCCGGATTACTGACGCGAGATACTGCAACATATAATTGGCCATGATTAAAAACAGGTTTTTTCAATAACAAACCAACATGTGAAAGTGTCTGACCTTGACTTTTGTTGATTGTCATTGCATATGATAACATAAGTGGGAATTGCTTTCTTTGAAACTTGAATGGAAGTCTTGGGTATGAAGGAGTCAAAGATAGCCTTGGTATCAGAACCTTTGTACCTGCGTTATTGCCAGCTATGATTTTCCCCTCAATAACATGATTTCCCAATTGTGTTACTATTAACCTTGTACCATTGCACAACCCCATCGAGTGATCTATATTTCTCAACAGCATAACTGGAGTTCCCATTTTTAGCGTTAAAGAGTGGTTTGGTACACCTGAGCACCTCAAGCTATTTAAAAATTCTGTTGTGTGTACCTGAGATTGCATATCAAAGTTTGCCTCAGCCTTGCAAACAGAATCACAACTCAAATATGTCCTTGATGCAGCTTGATTAATACCATTCATGTATTCATTGACCTCGTCAACAACATCTAATGTTGGAGCTAATATAGCTCTATTCTCTAATTGTGTTTCATCCATGTTCCCAGAACGGTATTCAGGGAATGTGCTTTCAACAATTTGTTTGATAGGATCAACCTCATTTTCTAATACAATGGAATACGGCATTATTGTATTGCAATCAACATCGTTGTCTTCACCAAGATTACCATCACCTAAATCCGCAATCCACTTGGCAAAACTATCTAACTTCTCAACATCGTCTTCATTAGTAACACCTCGCAATCTTAAATTCTTCGTTAGACGAAGAACTTCACAATTATTCCACAAGTAAGATGAATTAATGCTGGCTTGTATTATATCTTGTCTAGTACCTTTCAGAATAACGGGTAGAATTTGTCTAAAGTCTCCACCCAACACCACTGTTTTCCCTCCAAATGTCATTGTTGAGCTCCTTGAATTCTTGAAACGCATTAAATCTCTCATTGTGCGATCCAATGTTTCAAAGCAATGTTTGTGCATCATCGGAGCTTCATCCCAAATTATTAATTTGGATTTGATTATCAATTCAGCAAGTGGACTGCCTTGCTTGATGTTGCAAGTGGAGTCTTCATTAACACCAAGCGGTATCGCAAACCTGGAGTGTGCAGTCCTACCTCCAGGTAGCAGCAACGAAGCTATACCGCTTGATGCTACGTTTAGAACGACCTCGCCTTTGGATCGTAAAGCTGCTGAAATTGTCTTCCACAAAAATGTTTTTCCTGTTCCACCGTAACCATATACGAAATACATTCCACCTTTCTTAGTTTCAACATCTCCCATCACCTTATTGTATATGAGTAGCTGTTCATCAGTTAGTTTCGGATGCAACGAATTATGTTGATGCATTAGAGCTTCCCTGTCATATGACATTTCCTCTAACAACAACCTGTTACCACAAAACCAATCATTGTTTCCATCTGACATTGGCATAGGTGGGTAATCTGATAGAGATTTGTTCCAAGCATTCAACAATTTCTCCATTTCAAGCAGCGCAAAATTCTTTTTTTGAGATTCATTCATATTTAAATCTACAAAATAAAAAACAAATGTAAGATGTAATGCTTTTAAACACAGATTTTAATAATAATATTAAAATAAATTATACCTGAGACTGAGAGGTTCCTTCTATAAATATATTCAGCATCATCTGATAAGTATTGCCAAACCATCTCCCAAACATTTTCTGGTTTGGACATCGAACTGGATGTTAAAAAGGTAACAAACAACTTTCGTAGTGAACCTTGCTAACGACCAAGTTGTTGCCTCAGTGATTGCATCAATATACTCTTTATCATCTTCGATTAATCCGCGGGCATAACACGCATCTCTAAATGAATTGTATTGAACACCATCGACCTTTTTAATCTCATCAAATGAAGTCGGTCCACGAACTATATTAAGTAAACACCTAAGATAAAAGATCTCACCAATATTTGGTGGCACATAAAAGATTCGCCCAATTGCCCAATTTCTTTGCCTAGGTTGCCATTCTCTTTTATCATTCTTCCAAACAAATTTGGTTGGCATTTGTGAATAAGTCAACTGCCTCCCTGCTGCGTACTTTTTATTAGCCTCAAACCAGGCAGTAAACATGCTTTGAGCTACTGTTGGTCGATTTACCACATCATCGACCAAATCGTCGTCATGAAATATTATTGATTGCTCATTGGGAAGATGGAAACTCAACCGCTCAACAGATGGGTTCCTAAATTGTATGTCAAACCCAAAAATCCTCCACGCAGCCTCAGGGGGTGAAATATTTCTACAGTCATAGTACATCTTGATTTCATCTACAATTTTCCCAGTAGATTCTTCCACCCCACTGTTGTAGAATTCAGCTGTGACCCTATCATTCCCTTTGTTGACGTACTTGAATAAGTACTTTATTGATCTAGATTGGTTGCACCACTCCACATTAATATGAGCCTTGTACTTCATAAGCAAATGTCTATTGTGTGGCACAACATATCTACTATCAAGGTCAATCCCATTCTTCCGTATTGTACGACCATTATCTCGACGCCGATAGATTGGATATCCATCAAAATCCACTGTTGAGTTTTCAACAAATTTTTTGGGGAAGAATTTAGAGCAAATACCATTTATCATGCAAGGTGAGTTCTTCCTCGCTGCACCACATGGACTGTGAATCATAAATTCTTCTACAGCTTTATAATACTCAGGGTCGCACAATTGACTTGGAATCTCAGCAGATATGATCATGTCAATATCTTTAGGATTAGGGTAAGAGTTACTCTTGCTCAAGAAGATCAAAATGTGAGCATGTGGCAATCCCTTTTTCTGGAATTCAATGGTGTAAATTACTGCAAATACGGAGATGGTGAAATTAGACCCCCAAAAAATTGTCAATTATTTTAAGTATACGTAACAATTAAATATATTCGGTAATATTTATAAAATCACATAAATTACCTGCATCCACAAGTCCAAAAATCTTCTCCTTCTTAATGTCTTTTATGAGTGCATTTAATTTCATTTTAAACACACGGCATACTATATCTGGCCTATCTTCAGCTTTGAGTTTCCTTGGTTGTAAAATCTTTCAATCTCAGGCCACTTAGGATTACACGTGAATGTAATAAATAGACTTGGATACCTGATCCATCTACAATTCGACATTGCATCTTGGTAATTTTGCACCATATATCTTGCACCTCCTGTAAAACTCGATGGCAAAATAATGCGCTTTCCTTGGGAAGTAGGATCTACCTCACCACGTGTTAACGCATCTATCAAACATTTGTATGATTCACACCGAAGTGACTTTTGATGACACCTAATATACACCAAGCGTCCTGATTCTATCATGGTATAAGCATCAACTAAATATTGTTGAAACAATTGTCTAGCATATAGCAATGTTGACATTTCATTGAACCTATCTTGCAAACGGAATGAAAAATACTCTCTTGGGTTAAGTTTACTCCGTGAATTTGAACTCCGGCCTTCAACATTATTAAACTGTATATCGTCTCTGTATCCGTCTTCACCATAAGGAAATAGTAGTGGGTACTGCAGTGGGAAATATGCTGGATTTAATTCAGTTATTCTTTGAAAATGACCAGCTTTAGACTCCACCAATATATATCTTTCTCCCATGTTTGGATCTAAATCACCAACAATCAATGCCGCCACCTCCCCAACCTGTGGCAAGTTATATGTCCTTGCATCCTTGCTCCTTTTACCAATGAGTTTGATTTTAATATCAGCTCTATGATTACTTTCCATCTCTGTTTTGGCCATCCTAAAACTCTTGACCAAAACATTATTTTCATCCAGTGCATCCTTAATGTCTTTCACAATTTCACGATGCATTGTATTTGTTGACTCATCTACCCTGTTTGAAAGAAACAAACACATACAATTTCATAATGTATTTTATATAAAAAATTATGTTCATTTCTTTAAATTAAAGAAGCGTACATAACTTACCCAAGTACAATTAGATGATTTTCTATCTCATTTTGAGTATCATAAATATATAATTGAGCAAACTTTGGTCTTTCACCAGATTGTGGTAGTAAACTACCCATTAAGTGGAAGTTTTGACCATGTAACCTGAAAGTCGGGGGTGCACTACCATTGTTGACAGTCCTGTCAATTTTTCCACCCATGGAAGTAAAGCAAAACATATTGTTGAAGGACCGAATGTTCTTCAAGAAATGGGTACTCTTTTGATCCTGGTTAAAGAACAACTGCCTGATTGCCATAGGTGGAATATTCGGATGCGACAACTTTATCTTGCCATGACTGCAGCATAGAGAATATTTCGGATTTCGAACACCGCTAGATTTGTTAACTCGCTCCTCTAACCAAAACATAGCTCCACAGTGATCGCACGAGTACGTTTGATCACCAAGATCACTGTAATAATCTACCAAAAAAATAAATGTTATTACTATGTTTAGATAATAAAGGTTTTTAATCGTATCTATACTCACCATCTCCATTTGTAGAGTTTGATGGTGTATCATGGACAACACTATTAAATGCTGACATCAAACCACGTTGCATTGAAACCTTTGGTGATGAGGTATTGTAATCAACAACGCACGATCTTGTTGTTTGAACTATAAGATGAAAAGAAATGTTAAATTTCATAAAGCAATTTATAATAATTGACTTTTTAAAAAGAATTAAATTCATCTAGAAACTTTACCATTTGTTAGAATATGCAAAGGCCCTCGACTTTCATTGGACACCATAGGGGTACTTTCGAGCACGTTAGATTGGGATGTCATTGATTGAGTAATATTTTGTAAAACTATAAAAAAAAATTGTTTTAAATCTCAAATAAAAATTCAAAATATAGTATATTAAATGCTTAAAGATATATAATTTATTGTAGAAAATTGTTTAGAAAGACCTCTAATTTGTCCGCTGGCAAAACGCTTTTTAGTTTGAGATGTTGAATTAACACATGTAAGTTGAGATCTATCACTTGACGTTTGTATTGCAACTGAACACTCTAAACAACAAAATTACAAAAATCACACATTAATATATATAATAAATAATTAAAATAAAATGTACTATACGATACTACCGACATTGCATTTAAAATGAAAGCACTAACCATCAATAAAAGTTACATTCGGTGTGTTGAATGTTGCATTTTCTGTCCAATAAGACAATATATTAAAGAATTACTACTAAAGCAATGCATACAGATTACATGTGTTACATTAAATAAACTAAATTACCGCAAAAATAAAAGGGTTATATATGTAACAGCCCTAATTCAAATATTCTAAACACAAAACGTAACATTTTCATGACAAATCTATAGATATATAACGTCCCATACCATTGTATACGTTGAAAGATTGTCTTGAAAGACCTCCACACTGTGTCCCAGTCAGACGGCTCTTATTTTGAGGTGTTGCATTGACACATGTAAGCTGAGATCTACCACTTGACAATTCTACTGCAATTGAACACTCTAAACAAAAAAATTCCAAAATGCTAACATTAATATACGAAGATAATATAAATACTTTAAATTAAATGTACTATACCATAGCCCCGACATTGCAATTAGAAAGAAAGTAATTACCACCAATCGCAATTCGTTTCGGCGTGTTGAATGTTCCAATTTCCGTACCATCATTTTCTGACATAAAAACAATAAATATCTTATAACCAAAAAAATAAATAAGTAGTAATATAATTATTGATGTAGACATAGTTAATCCAATGATTATATAAAATATATTATTTATAAACTATTTTAGTACAAAAATTAAAATATATATGTTTATTTAACAAAATTGATTTAACAAAAATTACAATAAAATATTATCTTTTAAATACAATAAACACAATACATAAGATTGATTTAACAAAAATGAATATCGTACTATATAAAGAAGCATATGTACATAATAAGCATATTAAAATAATATATTCCACTACCTAAATAGAATTTAACCATAAATAAGAATTCTCTCTCTCTCTCTCTCTCTATATATATATATATATATATATATATATATATATATATATATATATATGTATATATATATATATATATATATGTATATATATATATATATATATATATATGTATATATATATGTATATATATACATATATATATATATATATATATATATATATATATATATATACCAAAAAAATAAAAAAATAAAAAGGATCGAAGTGTCCACTCCCACTGTCTACGCATTGTCTTCTCTCTACGATGTCATCACTCTGTCTATCTCTCGCTATCTCTCTCTATCTATCGATCTAATCCAGATATTTTAGATGTTAATGGCGTCTGAAATTGAAATCGCCTTTATAAACGAAACTCCTTCTTGATTAGATCGCAGCCTATACTGTGATTGGGTTCAAGTGAGATATGGAATTGGGCGAAACCCTAGATCTACTGAGATGCTTGGTTGTTTCTACAGATGCAACCTAGAGAAACCCTCAATCTGTATTACATAGCTATGGATGTACGCAGCCGGGCTAATTTACAATTGCGTCAACCTTCGCAGTAGGGTTTCTTTTCATGGAGCTAAACAATCGAATGTAGGTAAGTATTTTTCGTACACAAACTTAATTAACCTTTACTATTTTTGCCCAAAAAATCTAGATGTAAATCGATTTTCAATTCGAATTATGTATGCTAAACTATATGTCTGTATAGGTAGGGTTGAATTACATGTGTTACATTAAATAAACTAAATTACCGCAAAAATAAAAGGGTTATATATGTAACAGCCCTAATTCAAATACTCTAAACACAAAACGTAACATTTTCATGACAAATCTATAGATATATAACGTCTCATACCATTGTATACGTTGAAAGATTGTTTTGAAAGACCTCCACACTGTGTCCCAGTCAGACGGCTCTTATTTTGAGGTGTTGCATTGACACATGTAAGCTGAGATCTACCACTTGACAATTCTACTGCAATTGAACACTCTAAACAAAAAAATTCCAAAATGCTAACATTAATATACGAAGATAATATAAATACTTTAAATTAAATGTACTATACCATAGCCCTGACATTGCAATTAGAAAGAAAGTAATTACCACCAATCGCAATTCGTTTCGGCGTGTTGAATGTTCCAATTTCCGTACCATCATTTTCTGACATAAAAACAATAAATATCTTATAACCAAAAAAATAAATAAGTAGTAATATAATTATTGATGTAGACATAGTTAATCCAATGATTATATAAAATATATTATTTATAAACTATTTTAGTACAAAAATTAAAATATATATGTTTATTTAACAAAATTGATTTAACAAAATTACAATAAAATATTATCTTTTAAATACAATAAACACAATACATAAGATTGATTTAACAAAAATGAATATCGTACTATATAAAGAAGCATATGTACATAATAAGCATATTAAAATAATATATTCCACTACCTAAATAGAATTTAACCATAAATAAGAATTCTCTCTCTCTCTCTCTCTCTCTCTCTATATATATATATATATATATATATATATATATATATATATATATATATATATATATATATATATATATATATATGTACATATATATATATGTACATATATATATATATATATATATATATATATATATATACCAAAAAAATAAAAAAAATAAAAAGGATCGAAGTGTCCAGAAGTCTCACTTCTGGACACCATCCGATCATCACTCCCACTGTCTACGCATTGTCTTCTCTCTATGATGTCATCACTCTGTCTATCTCTCGCTATCTCTCTCTCTATCTATCGATCTAATCCAGATATTTTAGACGTTAATGGCGTCTGAAATTGAAATCGCCTTTATAAACGAAACTCCTTCTTGATTAGATCGCAGCCTATACTGTGATTGGGTTCAAGTGAGAGATGGAATTGGGCGAAACCCTAGATCTACTGAGATGCTTGGTTGTTTCTACAGATGCAACCTAGAGAAACCCTCGATCTGTATTACATAGCTATGGATGTACGCAGTCGGGCTAATTTACAATTGCGTCAACCTTCGCATTAGGGTTTCTTTTCATGGAGCTAAACAATCGAATGTAGGTAAGTATTTTTCGTACACAAACTTAATTAATCTTTACTATTTTTGCCCAAAAAATCTAGATGTAAATCGATTTTCAATTCGAATTATGTATGCTAAACTGTATGTCTGTATAGGTAGGGTTTTAACCTAGGTGAATTTGTCTAAACTCTACACTTGATTGATTTTAATTTGCAGTCTCTAATATGTAGCTTTCCTATAATTGATGATAAATAATTCTTTTTAACTTACCCCTAATATATGGTTATCCTTGTTCGACTGATTCGTAATTGCATGATAAAAAAAGTTCAATATGAATAGGAGAATAAAATCTTTTCTTGATTCGGAAACTGTGACAGTAATAGAAGTTTTGATGAATGTTGATCAGTTGCGTACCTTTATTTGAAATTGTATCCTTCCTTTTGGAGCCGATGACAGTTGATTTAGTTAACTTCCTCATTGATTTGAACTGCTTAATGTTTGGTAAGTGTTTTTCTGACAGTAGTGAGTTTAGTTTAAAATGAATGGTGTACTCTGCATTTAAATGTGAATATCTGAGTGTATGTGAGTGTAAAACATTAAAGAAAAATGAAATTCCCTAGAATTTTGTTGTTCCTTTATTAATGATTACTTCTATTGGGAAGCAGAAAAGACACATATTGAAAAGATAGGATTTATTCCCTGCATTAATCCTGCCATATGTTGAAATTAAGTTTTGATTCCAATAATCACCTAATTAGTATATGTGTATTTTGTTTTACAATTTCAGATCCAATTGTCTTTTTGAATCTCAGTTTAATTTTCTTATTATTTTCTGTTTTTGAATAGACTTCATTTCTGTTTTAATTAATTTACTCAGAATCTAACATTTGTTTTCAAGGAAATGGCACATGATGATATGAATTTATGGTGCCATTAGATTTCAGAGTTTCCATTACCATTAAGTGTACTATTAAACCTTTTGGAGAGGAAAAAAGTTCAGTATTGAATTTCACTACTGCCAAAGACCACAAATGAAGGCGTTATGGTGTACACACTTACGGGGCTAACCTTGTTGTCCAGATTTCACAATCTTGATGGGAATTTCCATTAGTAGTTTACAATCTGCTTATCTAACCTCTGTAATTTATAAACTATCTGTCGCTTTGCATCAAATAAATGGTGCAACCTGTGTAATTTGAGAACAGATCATTTTTAGTCCCTAAATCATTAGAGGAAAATAATTACTGTGTATCTCGTAGTTTTCATTCTATTTCTTTAGTGTTATACATCTGATAACTATAACTTTGAGTTCAATTTTGATTCTATTTCTTTATTGAAGCTGTTATTCGAGTATTTGATTGAGAATTAGGATTTCCATATCTGAGAAGAGTTTACTTCATATTGTTATCTGATTAAACAGAACTACTTAATCGAGCTGACATGTTGTGTATTCTGACTCAATGGTTTGGTTTGAATATATATACTGTATGTTGGCACAACTGGTATAGACTTTATTTTTTAGTACTTGACTATTTTGATTGGCTAAAATGTTTTAATAAAAATAACTTGACTTTGAAATTTATTTGTAGTCCTTATTTGAAGTTTTTGATAAAGATGTTTTGATAAAGATAACTTGACTTTGAGATGTAGGAAAAAGAATTGGGTTTGAATTGGATTTGCCTTTATAGACGTTTAAATTTGATATTCTAACTGTTTTGTATGATATTATTGGGTTGGTTAAACTTTAAATGTTGGCTGACTTTGTAACTAATGTTACAAAGATTTTGAAGCTCAACAGGTGATATTGAATTGGGTTTGAATTGGATTTGCCTTTATAGGCCTTTGACTATTGTATAATGTCCTGAAAAGATTTTGAAGCTAAACAGGTGATATTGAAGTAAAATATGTGTCTAAGGTACCAAATGGTAATCATAGCTTTATTATTCATTCAATTAAAAGACAAACACAAATGACACAGTACACTTTTGGAACTGATATAAGTACAAATTCCTTTATTTCAGGTGGACTGAAAGTTCAAGGACCACAACATGAGAATTACTATCCCTAAAAGATAAGTACATTATTTAAATCCACTGCCATTAGCCTTCTTTATCATTCTGTTTCTTGTGCATGCTACATGATCTCTGCCTGTTCATACCTGCAATGACTTAGGAATATAGACAAACCATAGTATAAAGCATACAAAAATCATTTATAAGAGTATCATAAGAAAGCACTTATACAAAGTGCCTAATGTCTATGGCATACCTGCAATGAGTTAGAAAAATAGACAAACCATAGTATAAAGCATACAAAAATCATTTTTAACAGTATCATAAGAAAGCACTGCAACAAAGTGCCTAATGTCTATGGCAAACCATCACCAATCACACATAATATGTACTTAGGAGTACATATTATCAAAATCCTGCTTACAAAAACAATTTCCACCCAAATCACCAATATTCGGGAAATCTTTGTCCATCATTTAATCACAGAACAGAACATTAACTTTTCTCCTGTTTAACCAAAACAGTCTTTGTTTTCTTTGCATCTCTACTGGATGAAAATTGATCAAGTAAGTTCCTCTTTGATGACACTGGCTCCAGTGGCTCTTCTTGTTCATCCAGCTTTTGCTTCTTAGCCTGAGTAGGATTGGGACTGCTTGCCTCATCACCCGATTCAGATTCCTGTTATAAATAAGAACCAACAATTAGTTAGACCATTAAGTATCTAGTTTATTCAATCAAGTGACCATTACTTAAATACTTACATCAGACTCTGCATCTTGATCATCTTCATTTAGCATCCTGGATAGCTGATCTTGATCATTACTTAAACAGGGGCAGTAATGATCCACTAAGTCTGAATCATGTGCTATTGCAACCACAGGTATAACTATTGCTTTATTCTTGAAGTGATCATTCTTAGCAGAAATCTTGAAGACCATAGCCTTATTACGGACCTCTTCCATACCAGTTGGGAGAGGAGACCCATCCTGGAAAAAAATAAAAGTGTTTAAATACAAACACTTCCATCAAAAAAAAAAAATACACTCAACAAAACTGTATAGTCATCTTTTTTTTATTTGTTGTCTAAAAAATACCTTACAGTATTTGCTCCTTAGATCAAGTGCAGTCTTTCCAACAATTTCGCAGCACTCCTTGTCCCACAACAGAAAAGGAGCATCAGTGGTCTTATCTCCTACCCTCACAATCAGCCTGTACCTTAGGTTTCCCTCCTGCCATGTTGTGCCACATGATAGGCATTGTAGAGCCCCACTCTTCAAGTGCAATTTTCTAAAGCATCCCTCACTCCTGCATGAATGGTAATACCAATTTGTAGTACTCTCCACAGTAACAATCCTTCCAGGAACCCAGTAGTAGCCTTCCTGTTAGTTCAAATTAAATAAAATAGAAAAATTAGGATTAAAAGATCAAAATAGAATGTTAAGATTAAACTAAGTTACATTGTACCTCGGCTCTTTCATACAGATCATCGATAGTAGTTACTATCATAGGAGATTTTGAACTTTCTGCAGCATTTCCATAGGAAATGTGAGACACAGTTTGCACACTTAGAGGTGGCCTGGTATCAACTTTCAAACTGCAGATTAAAGAAAAAAAAAACAGTGAACATGTTGATCTAGGAAAGTTGCTTCAAAATACAAATTATGTGGAATTACCTGTCTTTAAATTCCTGAAATTCACTGCAAGAGTGATTAAACCATAACTGTGTTGCATTGTAGGAGGATGAAATTCTGAATTCATCTACACATTAGAAACAGAAATTTGTTAAAAAATAATGAATTAGATGTTAATGAATAAGTTATCATGCACTCACTATCAACTTTCTTTGCTCGACAGAGTTGGAGTAAAACAATCAAAGGCCCTTCCACGTGGGTCTTGAAATAATGCATGGCTGTATCAACATGTTGATCCAAAACAGTACACTTAAGACGATTGCCCCTAAAAGTGAGATAAACAGATTGTAAGTAGATAAAATATATTGTACTGAATAAATTTATACTTAGTTGATTGCTTAATGCTATTTTGCTTATAGAATATTTAATTTACTACAGGTGTAACTATCCTACACCTAAAGGTGATATAATTGATGTTTTAAACAGTGGCCTGGTATGTATTTAACATGTTAAAGTCTAGTCTTTTAATAAATTTGAATCTGTCCTACTGGATTTCAGATTTGATGGGGTAAGGACCCCGGCCCAAGAAATAGGGGCCCAAAGGAAATGGTTCGAAGAAGTGGGCCAGCGTCCCAGGAGCCCGAAGAGCAATTGGACCGAGTCCTAGAGTCGACCCAGGCCCAAGCAAGGGGCCCGGTTCAGAACTGCCAAAGAGGAGCCCAGTGGGAGCTTAGGCTGAGACGAGGAGTCGACCAAGGCCCAAGCCCAGGGAAAGACTCGGTCTAAGGAGCCGTTGAGAGCATTGAAGAGGCTCGTTTAAAAGGGAGCCGTTAGGGCATTGAAAGTAGGACTCGGTCAGGCTGTTACAAGCCTGGAAGAGCCGTTGGTCGACCAAGTAATGGCATCCAACGGCTCCATATCTTGATTAGTCTTCAAGTCGGCCATTAAGGGCCTTCAAGTCGGTAGAAGAGGAGCTGCTATATAAAGGCTCCTCCACTCTTGTAAAGGGACGGACGATTGAATACCCGGAGAGGGGAAAATACGAAAGAGATTCCGAGTGCTAGCATTATTTCCAGTATAGGCATACATTTTTACTGAAAGGTGTATTCTCCAGCCGAAGGTTGTGTTGGACCTCCTTGGGCCTGAAAACCCAGAAACCATCACTGGCACCGTCTGTGGGGTTCGAACTAAGAGTCACGTATCCTCCTGAGTGAGGCGAGTCCACGAAACGACAACGAGAGTGTCAGTCGAATTAGAAAAGCTTCCGACATGGTGGGAAGTGAGGAACAATCAAGCCGTCACGACAATGGACGGGAGGCAGACCTGAGAAGCCAGCTGAATCGAAGAAACACCCAGAGCCGGGAAAATGAGACAACACCGCCGCCGACACCACCGATAAACCAACAGTTGCCCCAAGTGCTGCTCACCCCAGAGCAGCTACGTGCAATCGGGCATGCCTGCGCCGAAGCAAGACTGGGAGTGAGAAAACAGTCTGTCACTCGCCAGCCACAACGCGATTCACAGCCGCCCCATAGGCCCGATAACCGGCAACAGAACCGACGGGCCGAAAGCCAACCGGTACAGTCCATTCATTCTCGGCTGGGTCCCAGCGTCAGGCGGCGGTCGGCAAGAGAACGATTGGGTCGGAAGGAACCCAGTCGTGCCCCGTTAGCTGCTCGCGATCGGCAGGCTGCACGAGAGAGGAACCGTACCAAAAGAACCAGGACTGAGACTCGCCGCGTGGAGCAACCCCCCCGCAACCACGACCAACCGGCCGAGTCTGAAGTCGGTGAGAGCACGGAATCCACGGGAAATCACACTCGGGAGAGGGTCGAAGTGGCGAATTTAGTCCAAGAAGTGCGAAATCTGAAAGAACAGATGGAGGGGAAAGCCAAATCCCCAGGACGTATGTTATTGACCGCCTTACCCTTCTCGGACGAGGTTATGGATTTTAAGATACCGGGTGATTTCAAGTTCCCGGAGCAGGCCACGTTTGATGGAACCGGTGATCCCCGAGAGCATTTGCTGAGCTATCAGGCTAAGATGCAGGTTTTGGGGGTACGAGATCCGGTCATGTGCCGCGCTTTCTTACCCACGTTGAAAGGATCAGCACAAAGGTGGCTAGTGGCGCAGCCCTCGGGGTCGATTCACAGCTTTGAAGAGCTGGCAGACCGCTTCATGAGCCACTATGCCGCTAATATCAAACCACAAAAGGACCTAACGCACTTGGGCGACATTCATCAGGATGAAGGCGAGTCCTTGAAAACCTATCTGGCCCGCTGGCAGAAAGAAATCCAGTCCATAGAAGAGGTCGAGGACCAGACAGCGCTCACCTTCTTCATCGAGTCCTTGCGGTCCGGCCAGCTATACCGAGACCTGAGGGACAATCACCCGGCCACCTACGCAGAAGCCATTCATATGGCCAACAAGAGGGCCAACACAAAGCAGGCTATGAAGCATAAGCGACAGCGCGAAGTCGGCGGATCCGCCAGCGGGAAGAGGACGCGAGCTGAAACCAAGGAAAGGCGCCCGGACGTAACTCGGCGACCCGAGGTCAGACGACCGTACGACAGACCCGTCCACGCCTATCGACCGGCTCCCGAACGGCTGGTCCACGAGATACAAGTGGTTGCCCTGCCTCCGCCTCCGCCGACCGACGATCGCGCGATGAACGAAGAGACTAGTAAGACCTCTAAGTACTATTGTTATCATAAATCTTATACTCACAGCACGGAGGAATGCTTCTACCTGAAGAAGATCATGGAGGGTATCATTCAGCAAGGAACCCCGCCTCCTAATCAGTGGAGGCAGAGATCGGTCAATCGAGGGGATGAGGATCCCGCCGCCGTTGCCGAAAACAGTCGAGGCAAGCAGCCGGCTCCTGAAGAGGAGGAGGCTCAGTGGCGCCAGAAACCGGTTATCAACATCATAATCGGCGGGCCGGAAGGTGGTGACTCAGCGAACACCAGAAAAGCTTGGGCCCGCCAGCTGTACGTCGGGACGGTGTACGGACGCGAAGAGAACCCTAAAAAGGTGTGCCGAGAGCCCATCGTGTTCATCGACAGATATTTACCAGCCGGAGAAATACCGCATCGAGATGCGTTGGTTATAGCCATGGACATCAATGGCGTTGTCGTTCGACGAATCCTGGTAGACACCGGAAGCAGCGTCAATGTGCTATACCTAGAAACCTTCATCAAAATGGGAATGACTCGAGAACAGCTGAGCCCTGTCAAAACCCCCCTCGCTGGTTTCACAGGGGACTCGGTGGAGGCGGAAGGATCAATCACACTTCCAGTTGAGATTGGCAGCTACCCAGATGTACAGAAACTCAGCATGAAGTTCATTGTGGTGAACCTGGCCTGTTCGCATAACGCTATACTCGGCCAGCCGGGTCTAGAGGATCTAGGGGCTCTGATTTCAATCGAGCATCTTTGTTTAAAATTCTGCACGCCAAACGGAATAGGTACGGTGCGTTGTGACCGAAAAGTCGCCCGCGATTGCTACCTGCAAGCATGCAGAGGGATGGGCAAACGCGAGATGCAGGTCCATGAGATCACCGAGAGGCCCCCAAAAAAGACGATAATACCTCGTCCGGAGCCTGCCGTCGAGTTGGAGGATGTCGAGATCGACTCCGCACAGCCGGACCGACTGGTCCGAATTGGAGTCGGCCTCCCTGAGAAAGTAAAGGAAGAGATTATAAAGGTGCTCCGGGAACACCGGATGGTTTTCGCCTGGGGCCCGGAGGACATGCCTGGCATCGACTGATCGATCATATCGCACAGACTCGCCGTGGATCCCGAGCATCGACCGGTCATACAGAAGAAGCGATACCTGGCCAATGACCAAAGAGAATTTGTGAAGAAGGAAGTGAGCACGCTACTAGCAGTCGGGCACGTCCGCGAGGTTAAGTACCCGGAGTGGTTGGCGAATGTGGTCCTTATACCCAAGCCCCCGGCTTGGCGGATGTGTGTGGACTACACCGACCTTAATAAGGCCTGCCCAAAAGACCCGTTTCCCTTACCTCGGATCGATCAACTGGTCAACAAGACGGCGGGGTTGGCACTGTTGAGCTTTATGGACGCCTTTAGGGGATACCATCAGATATTCATGCACCCGGCAGACGAATAAAAAGACCGCGTTTTTTACGCCGGACGGGGTTTATTGTTACCGAGTCATGCCTTTCGGGCTCAAAAACGCCGGAGCCACATATACCCGAATGGTAGCCCGACTATTCCAGCACCTGCTGGGAAAATCAATGGCCGCGTACGTCGACGACATGCTCGTCAAGAGCCGAGAGGAGAGCAAACACGCCGAAGATCTGGCCGATTGCTTTAAGGTGATGATAAAGTATAACCTCCGGTTGAACCCTAAGAAATGCGCGTTCGCCGTGCAAGGGGGAAAGTTCTTGGGCTACATGGTCACCAAGCGAGGTATCGAGCCTAATCCTGAGAAAGTACAGGCCATCGTCGACATGCAGCCTCCCAGCACTGTAAAAGACCTGCAACGGCTGACCGGCCGATTGGCCGCCCTTAGCCGCTTCCTGAGCAAGGCGGCGGATAGGACCGTGCCTTTCTTCGAAGCCATGAAGAAGAAGGAAGGATTCGCTTGGACCCCGGAGTGCCAGCAGTCGTTTGAGGAATTGAAACAATACCTCTCGACACCCCCGGTATTGTTTACCCCTCAGGTGGGTGAGCCTTTATTTCTGTACTTAGCTGCCTCCTGCAAGGCGGTAGGTACGGTGTTGGTCCGAGAGGAAGAACGAGTTCAGCACCCGGTCTATTACGTAAGCCGCTCCCTGAAGGCTGCCGAGTCAAGGTATACCGCCTTGGAAAAGATTGTATATGCGTTGGTGGTCACCGTGCGCAAGTTGGCACCCTACTTCCAAGCCCACACTGTCCGAGTGCTGACAGACCAACCACTCGGAAGCGTTTTGCGAAACCCATCGTCGTTCGGCCGCCTAGTAAAATGGGTCATAGAGCTAACCCAGTATGGGATTGAGTACCAGCCCCGGCCTTCCATAAAAGGCCAAGCCTTGGCCGACTTCTTGGTCGAATGCACGGCGAGTGAGGAAGAGAAGGAACGCGCCACGGAAAACTGTTTAGGCGAGTGGTGGGAAATGCACGCGGACGGAGCATCAAGTCGACATCACTGTGGAGGTGGTGTCGTACTTATCACTCCTGAAGGATTCCGACTGTATTATGCCTTGAGCTACCTGTTCCAAGCCTCCAACAACGAGGCCGAGTACGAAGCTGTGTTAAACGGCCTCCGACTCGCCAAGGCCCTAGGGGTCGAGAGGTTACGAGTCAAGACTGACTCTAGGTTAGTAGTCGGGCAGATCTCAGGCACATGCGAGGCCAAGAATGCCCGGATGGCTCTATATAGAGAGCGCGCAGTCGAGATGTTAAAAGAGTTCGGAGCCTACGAAATAGAGTATATATCCCGAACGGATAACTTAGAAGCTGACATATTGTCCAAGATTGCCTTGGAGGGAGTACCGGACCACCTGGTAAAAATCTGTCAGAAGGAGGAGCTAAGTCGACCAAGCATTGAAGAAACACCGCTAAGGATCCAGCAAGTGACTGGCGAGGAATGGGACCGAGAAAAAAACCCCGAGATGTTCTGGATAGAGGACATCCGGCGATTCATAGAAAAAGGCGAGTTGCCGGAAGACCCGGGAGTCGCCGCAAGGGTTCGACGAAAGGCCCCCTCCTTCGAAATCACTGATGGGCAATTGTACAAACGATCGTTCAGAGGACCTTTGTTAAGATGTTTGCTCAGGACCGAGGCCGAGAAAATAATGGATGAAGCCCATAGAGGCATTTGTGCCGCGCACCAAGGTGCCCACACGCTCGCTCGGAAATTAGTCGTCCAAGGATATTATTGGCCAACCATGATGCGGGACTGTATTGAATGGATATCCAAGTGCGGCGTTTGCCAGGCGTTCGGCAAGAAAGACACTCGGCCAGCTACCTTTTACACGCCGGTCACCACTGCCATCCCATTTGCCAAGTGGGCGATTGATTTATTGGGGCCATTACCAGTCGCCCCCGGAGGCTTGAAGTTCTGTGTCGTAGCTATCGACTACT